CGCTTCCTCTAACCTTTCCTGTCTATTACCAGTTATGACTTGTGCTGACCCTGGCGAGATCACCAATGGCCACCGGACTGCCTCAGATGCCGGTTTCCCAGTCGGTTCCCATGTCCAGTATCGCTGTCTGCCAGGGTACAGCCTGGAAGGGGCAGCTGTGCTCACCTGCTACAGCCGGGACACAGGAACACCCAAGTGGAGCGATCGAGTCCCCAAATGCGCCTGTAAGTTTGGGGGACACCCCGGGAAGGGAAGACCTGGAAACCCAGACTGGCCCTACCCAGTTTCTAAGCAGCCCTGTGGCCGGGTGCTCCCTGCAGTGAAGTACGAGCCGTGCCTGAACCCTGGTGTCCCCGAGAACGGTTACCAGACACTGTACAAGCATCACTACCAAGCCGGCGAGTCTCTGCGTTTCTTCTGTTATGAGGGCTTTGAGCTCATTGGCGAGGTCACCATCACCTGTGTGCCCGGTCACCCCTCTCAGTGGACCAGCCAGCCCCCCCTCTGCAAAGGTGCCTGGGCAAACGGGGCAGAGGGGCATATCGGGATCTGGGGAGTGACTGAGCTGGAAGAACAGGGTAGAAAACTCCAGACCAGTGCCTGACTGCCGAGTGCCCTAATGTGTGGGCTTATTCTCACAGCCAGAACTGGAAAACCCGGGGAGATCTGAGGGATGTAGCAGGGGGGCCTTGGTATAGAAGCCCCTTTGCCTCTCCACAAAGTCCTCGGTTCTGCTATCACTGAGAAATAGACTCTCCAGGAACCTTGAACCTTTAGTAGGTTTGGAAGAGGAGGACAGGCCCTGGCTTACCAACCGCCATGGCCTCTACACACACAGGGAAAGACAAGAATAGACTGATCAGAGGGTAGAGACCCAGGCTGTGCAGCCCAGCCGCACCGGGCTTCGGCCTTCTCCCCAGTCTCCTTCCCTCCCTGGCTCAGACCCCGTCCCTCCTCCCCCTCCTCTCCCTGCAGTGGCCTATGAGGAGCTCCTGGACAACCGAAAACTGGAAGGTCAGTGAGGGCGCAGGTGGAGACCAGGCCTGGCCAGGCTGGGAGGGCAAGGTCAAGACTGGGGGCAGGAGGCCAGGCCCCAGAGGGGTGAAGCCAAGGGTTCAGGACCCAGGGCAGGAGGATGGGAGAGCCCAGGAGGGGGTCCAGCCTTCCCTCATTTGCTATTCTTCCTCCCTCCCCAGTGACCCAGACTACTGACCCATCACGGCAGCTGGAGGGTGGGAACCTTGCTCTGGCCATCCTGTTGCCCCTAGGTTTGGTCATTGTCCTTGGCAGTGGTGTTTACATATACTACACCAAGTAAGTACCCTACCTTTGACTGCTGGCCAAGGTGGGTGTCGAACCTGGGAGTCAGGGAAAGGAGTCCATGGACTCACACGATAAGCCCGCTGTCCTCTCCCTTTCCCAGGCTGCAAGGAAAATCACTTTTTGGTTTCTCCGGGTCCCACTCCTACAGTCCCATCACCGTGGAGTCAGACTTTAGCAACCCACTGTATGAAGCTGGGGTGAGTCCCTCCCCTCCGCTGGGAAAGCCCCAGCTCTCTGTCTCCCCCCAGGACTTTATAATCTTCTCCCAAAGTCTCCGTGGTCTCTTTGGGAAATTTCAAACTCAGATGCCTACAAAAGTCATGATGATGGTCAAAGCAAGCTGTGTGTGGACAATAGTGAATAGTGAGGTCTGTAGCTAAGTGGAGGACCAGAGCCCGTCTACAGGACGCAGCTCAAATCCATAGTGGACACTTAGGTCCAGTCTCCAAATCCTCCTCCTGTTCAAGGCATTTCAGAAATGCCTTTTTGTCATCGTACGATACTATTGGAGAAACCAAACATATCTATTAGCTAGATTCAACCCAGGATTCTCTCTTTTTTGGGGTTAGGAGGAGACAGGGTTCTATGTAGCCCTGGCTGGCCTGGAACGCTCAGAGATCTGCCTGCCTCTGTGTCCTGAGTGCTGAGATTAAAATGTGCACCACCAAGCCTGACTTGGAATCTTTACTAGAAAATAGTTTCTAGCTGGGCTGTGGTGGTGCACGCCTTTAATCCCAGCACTTGAACAGAGGCAGGGAGAGCTCTCTGAGTTTGAGGCCAGCCTGGTCTACTGGTCTACAAAGTGAGTTCCAGGATTGCCAGAGCTACACGCAGAGACATCTTATCTCAAAAAATCTAATAAAAAAAGAAAAAAAATCTTAAAAAATTTAAATTGTAGCCGGGTAGTGGTGGCAAACACCTTTAATCCCAAAATTTGGGAGGCAGAGGCAGGTAGGTCTCTGTGAGTTCAAAGTCAGCCTGGTCTACAAAGTGAATTCCAAGACAGTCAGAGCTACACAGAGAAACCCTGTATCAAAAAACAAAAACAAAATTGTTTTATGCTTGCCTGTCTACACCAAGTACATGAAGTGCCCTCAGAGTCTAGAGAGGGCGTCAGACCCCAGGGAACAGGAGTTGCAGACAGTTGTGAGCCACCATGTGAATGCTATGGACCCAACCTAGGTCCTCTGAAAGAGTAGCCATCTCTCCAGCTCCCTATATTAATTTAAATATGAAGGTCTTGCTGGGCATGGTAGCTCAACGACTTTAATCTAGAGGCAGAAGCAGGCAGATCTCTGAGTTTGGAGCCAACCTGGTCTACCTAGAGAGTTCCAGGACATCCAGGACTATACAGAGACACCCTGTCTCAGAATAACATGGTCTTTCTGTGTGTGTAGTACTGGAGATTAGTGCCTTGTGAGCCGTCGGCAGACTCTAGGCATTGGGTGGTGTCTCTAGTGTCTCACCCTCTTTTATTCAGAGACAAGGATCTCTCTATGTACCCCCGGCAAGTCTGGAACTCTATGTAGACCAGGCTGGCCTCAAATTCACAGACACCGCCCCCTGCCTCTACCTCCAAGTGCTGGGACTAAATGCATGTGTCATCATGCCGCGCTCTCCAATCCTCTTTGAGTTTTGAGAAAGAGTTTAAATTATCCAGTCTGACCAGGAACTGCCGTAGCTCAGGCCTGCCTTGAATTGTCATCTTCTTGCCTCCCTCTCCCTAGTAGCTGGAATTACAAGTTGGTACCACCCGTCTCAGCTCAGATATTATGTCTTGCCCCCTCCTTGTGGGTGCCTCTTCACCTCCCACTTACTCCAGCTTATCTGCTTTTCTGTCTTCAGGATACACGGGAGTACGAAGTCTCCATCTGAACCCCGAGTCTAAGTCTGCAGGACCCAGGACCACCCGTTCTCTTGCCATTCTGGGCAGTGAGGAGCATAGGACCTGGCTCCCCTCCCCCTGCTGTGTAAATAGTCTTCCCATCCCATGAGGGGGCTTTGATGGCCCTGGAGACCCTACAGTAAATAAACCAGCATCCTGCCGCCCAAAGCCGCCTCTCCTTAGTTGCCAAACAAGGGGCCTTCTGCCCCCCTGATCCTACTGACTTCTGGACCCAGGGAAGGGAACTCAGCCCCTTGCAATTCCTGGGGCCCCTCCAGCCCAGGGCCCCACTCAAGAATTGTCCCCTAGCACTACCATCCCCACGGCCATGAAGGCTCCCTACTCCCAGATGTCCGGCACTGCTGGGCCTCAAGGGTGAGAAGGACGGAGGAATGGGTGGGCCAAGTCCCATCCCTTCCCTGTGTCTCCCCGCCCACTCTCTTTCCACCTTTCTTTGCTTCTGAGTTCTTGTTTTTGAGCAATAAACAGAAAGTTGCCACTTGTAACTGAGCTGGTGAGTCTGGGAAAGCGCGTCTTAAGGTGTCGGGGCAAGTGGTGGGGAAATGGAAGCTCTCTGGAGGAAAATAGAAATCCCAAACTGGGCAGTGTCCCAGGTGCTGGCCTGGAGTCCAAAGGCCTGGCTATACCCGGTATGATGGTGAGCACTGTTAGTCCCAGCTCTTGGGAGGCAGAGGCAGGCAGATTTTGACCTGGCCTATATAGCAAGTTCCAAGCCAGCAAGAACTACATGGTGATACCCTGTCTCCAAAGGAGCCTGGCTTGAGGCTCAGCCCCTGTAGAGAGCTGGCTGACACAACAACCTCTCCGCTAGTTCTTGCTAGGTTCCCCCAGCTAGAAGAGCCATACTGTCCACACCCTTCCACAGACCCAGGGAGCAGTGAGCCTTCTGTTCTCTTCATGAGCTGTTTCCCCTTTTGAAAATGTTTGTTGTATACATTCATGTGTTCTTGGTTTTGGTTGTTTGGTTTTTCAAGACAGGAATTCTCTGTAGCTTTGGAGCCTGTCCTGGAACTAGCTCTTGTTGACCAGATCTTGAACTCACAGAGATCCACTTGCCTCTGCCTCCTGAGTGCTGGGATTAAAGGCGTCAGCCACCACCGCCTGGCTACATTCATGTATTCTGTGCTGTTTTTTCTCCTGCTGACCTTTTGTGGAGTGTTGCCTCTATTATTGTTTTTAGATGGTCTTGCTACAGCACAGACTTGTTTTTTATTTGTTTTGTTTTGTTTTTTGGAACAGGGTCTTACTATGTATCTCTGGCTGTCCTGGAACTAGCTCTTGTAGACCAGGCTGGCCTCGAACTCACAGAGATACACCCGTCTCTGCCTCCCGAGTGCTGGGATTAAAGGTGTGCGCCACCACTGCCAGGCCACTCAGTTTTCTATTTAGGAAACTAAGATTGAGAAAGGTGAATGGACTTTCTCAGAGGGCCAAAAGAAGAGGCCAAACTGGGCCCGAAACACAAACTCCTCAGGCCTTCTACCTCACCTTCTGTCTGGCAACAAGTCAGCATGTTCTCATAGACATGAGACTCCCAAAAGCTCAGAGGGAGAAGCAGAGGCCTGGCCCTCAGAACCCAAAGTGACAGAGAAGGCCCTCCTTTGGCAGCAGAGTGGCCCCCTGCATGCTGTAGCTAGCTAGCCACAAGGTGCTAGAGAACAGATTTGGGTCCAGCAGGTGGCCAACAACTGGATTCCAGGAATATGCTGACATGCACCATGGCCCTCTGGAAGAAAGCACGCCCCCTCCAGAAGCCACTGCAGAACACTCCTGAAGTTGGAGGGAGAGGGAGGATCCCTGGCTCTTTATTAAAACTTTTCTCCTCAGTAGTGTGATTGCCCATAGAAGATGGACAGTCCTGCAACAGGTCCAAAGAACTTGGTTGGTTTCAAAGGTGGCATTGCTGGCGAGCAGGAGTTCCTCCCGAGATGAGGTGTTTAGCCAGTCGCAAAGGAGGGGCGTTGAGGCTTTCACTGAGGAGCAGAGTAGGGGAGGGAGAGGCCAAGAGAGCAGCACAGGGAGGGGGGCTCACCCTCCAGTTGTCAGGCTGTTGGGAAGTACTCCCTGAAAGAGAGGGAGAGCTGTAGGCTTTTCACACTCAAGGTGCCTGTCTCTCCTTCCTTCCCACAGCCATCCAAAGCCACAGACCACCCGGAAGAGAGCACCGTGCTCCACTTTCACCGACACCCTCCTTCCGTGCATTCATATCCAAATCTATCCACCATTTCTTCCCCATCACTCCATGCACCTGCTCCGCATCCCTTCCTTACCCGTCTTCCCCCGCTTATCTTTCCCCTCCCACTTCTGGAGAGCGGGAGGCTCTGTTTCGTTCAGTGCTGCACCCCAGGACAGTGCTTCCTGCCATACAGCAGGTGCTTAGCACATGCTCAGTCAACATATCCATTCACCCATTCACCATGTGCCTGCTACTCCTTCAGCCTGTCCATCCGTTTCCCATCTTACATTTGTCTGCTGTTTGGTTAGTTGGTTTTTTCAAGACAGTGTTTTTCTGTAGCTTGGGAGCCTGTCCTGGAACTAGCTCTTGTAAACCAGGCTGGCCACGAACTTAAAGCGATCTGCCTGCCTCTGCCTCCCGAGTGCTGGGATTAAAGACATGTGCCACCACTGACTGGTTTGTCTGCTTTTTAAATTGAAGTTTTATTTATTATTTATATACTTATTTTTTGAGACAGGGTTTATATAACCCTGGCTGACCTGAAACTCACTGTGTAGACCAGGCTGGCCTGGAACTCAGAGATTCCCCCTGCCTCTACCTCCTGGATGTTGGAATTAAAGGTGTGTGCCACACCAGGCTTTAAATGGTTTTTAAATTGCCTGCAGATAGATCTGAGTACCACTTTTGTGCCTGGTCCCTGTGGAAACCAGAAGAGGGCATTAGATCTCCTAAACTGGAGTTGTGGACAGTAGTGGACCATTATATGGGTATGGGTGCTGGGAATTGAACCTGGGTCCTCTACGGAATCAACAAATGCTCTTAACTGTTGAGCCGTATCTCCAGCCTCTTTATTTCTCTGTTTTTAAATTTTTAAATTTCTGTTTCCCCAGCTGGGCGGTGGTGGCACACGCCTTTAATCCCAGTACTGGGAGGCAGAGGCAGGTGGATCTCTGTGAGTTCGAGACCAGCTTGGTCTAGAAGAGCTAGTTCCAGGACAGGCTCCAAAGCTACAGAGAAATCCTGTCTCAAAAAAATCAAAAAAAAAATTTGTTTCCCCATACATATAATTTCGATTATATGTTGTATATTTCTATTATCTCTCATATATTGTATGTTACATATATATAATTTCTAAATCCCTAAATTTGTTTATTTTGAGACAAGGCCTTTCTATGTAGCCCTGAGTGTACAGGAACTGACTATGCAGACCAAGGTGTCCTTGAACTCATAGAAATCATCCTCGCCTCCTCCAGAGTGCTGAAACTGAGGGCTTGTGCCACCAAGCCTGGCAGGCCCTAGAGCATACAAGCTGCTCACAACCTCAGTAAGATACCTCCCTGTGCCTTGGGTCACACAATCCCTGCTGCTTAGGATACTTATATTAGAGCTGCCTCCCTGACAAATTCTTCCTTAGGTAAATTCCTTCTTCGGGCAGCTCCATGATACCTTCCTTCCTAGCCTACCTGAGGACGAGGCTCAATCTTACTGGCTTCTCTTCTTAGGTGGGTAGCATTCCATATTATGTTGTCATTGGCCATTAGCTTGGCCTGGCCTCATTCTAAACTGAATTCTTCTGGGAATGGTGGCACACGCCCTTAATCCTAGCACTGAGTCAGAGGCAGGTGGATCTTTGTGAGTTCAAGGCCAGCCTGGCCTGTGTAGCAAATTTCAGGCCAACTAAACTAGTAGTAAGACAAACAAAAACAAACCAACAAAGCCCTGAATTCTTCAAGGGCTGAGTCTATACTGTGCATTCTGTGTCCCAGACTCCAAACACAGGGAGCAGCACACAGTGGACACTGGAAATGCTGTAACTGAACGACCTCGCACAAACCTTTTCACGAGGAGATGGTAGAAGGTGCGCCTTAGAGCGGGTGCGATTTCTGTCAGTGCTGGAGGCAGCGGAAGAAAAGAGAAGGCTGAGAATCATAAAATGCAGGATCAGGAAGGAACAGAATAGATCAGCATGGCTCAAAACTCCCCTTACCCTGCTGAGATGTTATAAACCCTTGCTCTTCCCCCTCTTCCCCCCCCCCAGGCTCCTCACCCTCCTCCCTGGACAGAGCATCACTCACCGGGTGTCTGTGCCGCGGGTCTTGGTGAAGACCACTGGAAAGAGAGGCCCCAGTCAGAGAAGTGACTTTCTCCATGGTTAGAAGGAGTTGGGGCTAGAGTGGATGGGGATAAGGGGCCCGCTGGCTAGCAAGAATGAGTGGGTTAGAGGGTAAGGGGCACTGTGCCTAGGACTGGCATTGAGGAGGAAAAAATGGGCAGATTCCCTGGGAGGTCAGGAACTCGTCCCTACATGGAGAGAGAGAGCTCACCATGTCTAGTTGATATCTGAGTCCCTTGGTCTTTTGTCTGCATTGTTTCCTTGATGGGCACAGAGTTCACATGGGAGCGAGCAATAAATAGTGCTTCATCTGTGAGTTCTGTGCTGATTTGGGTCAGGAATTCTTCAGAACGGGATAATGAGACTTTCTGGAAAGGAAGTTAGAATTGAGCCTGCAAACTCCCACAGGTCCGGTGTCTTCCAGGCTGGTATTAGCGGGTTGAGATGGAAGGCCCTGGATCCTGGACTCAGAACCAGAGTGCCTGCCTAGCTTCCCTTCTCCTCCTTCACATCCCATGGTTGTTCACCTGCCCTCCACCTAAGGCGGCTGCAGCTTGAGATGGCCAGCTGTCCTTTTTCTCTCCGTTCCTGGCAGATGTGGATGCCATCACCCTGGAAACAAAGTTTGTGTTAAGACTGAGGAACCAGTCCACTTCCTCCCAGACCCCATCTCACACCATTCCCTGGGCCCAGGTTTAGTCCACGCCTATAACTCGAACACCGTCTTAGTCTTGTCCTCGAAAAAGTTGGTTGTCCTGCCTACAACTTTGAGGGGAGGGGCTCTCAGAATAGCTCCCTCCCCCATTCCATCCAACGCCCTTCCTCCTTCTCTGCCAAGGCCCTTCCAAAGGCAAGGCAGCCAACATGCAGCCCCCTGACCTGGCTGATGAAATCTTGGGCTACTCGGCGGGAGGGGAGACGGAGAGGTCTAAAGGGAGACCCTATGTTAGACCTCAGGGGATAGGGAGTTGGAGTTGGGGAGGAAGGTTGAAAAGAGGGAGAGCCAGGGAAGCGCCGTTCCGGGTTGCTATAAAGACCTAAAAGTTTGAGGAGGTTCTATAGTTCCGTTGCTAGGAGACTAATGGTTCTAGAACTAAAGACATTTTTCTTGGGTACCACGGCTGCTCTCCAGGTTCCTCCTTGGAGGTGGTGACCACAGCGTTATTTCGAGACATTTGGGAGATGACGTAGGGCGGAACCTGGGCTCTAATCCTCCCACCACCAGGGCGGCGCTAAAAGCAAGCGACAGGCGCGCCCCGAGCCTCTCTAGCCACCTCTTCTCTGCCTGGGTCCGGGAAAGCGACCGAGGCCGCGGCCGTAGCGGGCGGGGAAGCGATGTGGGCTGTACTAAGTCACCCCGTCTCTCGGGGAGGCTCAGACTCGGAACGTCGGAATCTCATCGCCGCACCTTTGCCTCCAGGAGTTTATGCCCTCTGTAAAAGGCAGAATGAAGGTTCCTTTTCAGGTCTCTTCTGCCCCTCCCTTGGCAGTTTCTTCCTTGGCTCTCGGCACCCACCCCTCCCTCGTTGCGTTGGTACGCGCCGAAGCCAAAGGACGCCGGCAGGAAAAGGAAGCAGACCGGCCTTAAAGGGGCCCAGCTACTATTTATTTAATTAATTTATTTATATTTAAAAGCCGCTCTCTCCTTCCTCCGATGCTCTTAACGTCCCCGACAGAAGAGTAAGCTTAGTTGCGCAGCCTGCAGCAGGGCCAGCTGCTGGAGACCGCAGCTCCTGCCCATCGGAAGACCAGGTGTGCGGGAACTGCGCCCAGGGGTGTCCCGCGCCCTGGCACCCTGCGGGCTCTAACAGCTGGGATCGCGCGGGGAAACTGGGCCCAGGGCTCAGGTGGAGCGGCTGATGTCCCTGGCTGAAAGGTGAGGCCGCGCTGGTGAGACTGGGACAAGTCCTTGCACCTCCAGAGCTGGACCAGGGCGACAAGGGGAGCCGCCAAGATGCCAGAGGAAAATATCTTCCTGTTCGTGCCTAACCTCATCGGTGAGTGCTCTCTGCGGCCCCAGCATCAGCGGAGGGCGAGGGACCATGAGCTGGCTCCCCGATCACAACCTGTCCCTCTCCCTTGCCATCCCAAGGTTATGCCAGGATTGTCTTCGCCATCATTTCCTTCTACTTCATGCCCTGCTGCCCCCTCACGGCTTCCTCCTTCTATCTGCTCAGTGGACTTCTGGACGCCTTCGATGGACACGCAGCTCGAACCCTTAATCAAGGTGACAGAACTCTACCACTACCGCTACTTGGGGACCCAACATCCCCCTGCCCTTTTCCTGCTTTCCCAGGACCTCAGAAGTATTCCATGCCCATCTCTGTGAGAAAACAAGACAGGGATTGGGGGAGGGAGGACACTTAAGCCTGCTCTTGAGGGCTGTTCACGGTTTATGAAGGGTGTGACCTAAACTGGGCATAGTGGTGTAAATGGAAGAGGTCTCTGGATAAATTCCCTTTGGGTCAGGCGTGGTGACTCATGCCTGTAATTCCAGCACAGGAGAGGCAGACAGAAAGATTGCTCCAAGTCAAAAGTCCTCTTAGATTTCATGTTAAGTACCAGGTGAGCCAGGGCTACACAGCAAAATCCTACAAAAATAAAAGTCATTGGGGCTGGAGAGATGGCTCAGAGGATAAATTAAGTATGCTTACTGCTTGGCTGGGCTTTGGTGGTGCAGGCTCTTGGGAGGCAGAGGCAGGTGGATCTCTGAGTTCAAGGCCAGCCTGGCCTACTACTTGAGTTCCAGTTCTGTTACACAGAGAAACTCTGTCTCAAAACAAACAAACAAACAAAAAGAATGTTTGCTGCTCTTGTACAGGACCTGGATTTAGTTCTCAGAATCTACATGGTGGCTTACAACCATCTATAACTCCAGTTTCAGGGGTCCAGTGTTGTCTCTGGCCTCTGTGGGCATCGGGCACACATGTTTACATACATATATGAAGGCAAAGACTCATACCATAAAACAAAAGATAAATAAGAAAATAAACTTCTATTCAGGTGTTTGCTAGGGGCTACTCTGTGCACAGACAATAGGGACACCCGAAGGGGTTGGAGCTGGGTCGGGGGAAGCAGGTGGTGTTTGGATTGCTGACTAATTCATTAATGTGTTCTCCAGAGCCAACTCTAAAACTGCCCCTAAGCCTTAGGGTTTGCTTGCCTTTTGCGGGGGCTTGGTTCTGGGTTAGAGGAGTTGAGGGTGGGGCTTCTCTGCTCCTCCATCAGCTTTCCTGCCACAGCCCTGGTCTCCTCATTTCTTGTCCTCATATCCCGTCCTTCTGGCCCCTCCATCTCTTGACAGCAACCTGCCTTCCTCCTCAAGCAGTAGATGGTAGACATTTTTAAATTCCTTTCATATTTGACCCCAAGTGATAGACCAAACAGTCCCTTCCAACTTAATATTTTCAACTTAATTATTTTTCAGGGACCCGGTTCGGGGCCATGCTTGACATGCTGACGGATCGTTGTTCCACCATGTGTCTCTTGGTCAACCTGGCCCTGTTATACCCCCGGGCCACTCTTCTCTTCCAGCTCAGCATGAGCCTAGACATGGCCAGCCACTGGCTGCATCTGCACAGGTCTGCTTTGATGCTGGAGGTGCTGATGAGGGGAAGATATTACAGTGGGAGGGAGACGGGGATGATTCAGGCTCCCTGGGAGGTGTCTTCCTTTTTCTTTGCCCCTTGAGAGAGCAGCCCAAGGCTTGCTTAGAATTTGTGTGTACCCAGGCAGGCCTCAAATTCACGGCAGTCTTCCCACTTCTGCCTCCTGAGTGCTGGAATTGTATATCAGCATACCCCTGTCCTTAGCGGAGGCCTCTTTTTAAATTTTTGCTTTGTGAAAGGTCCCTGGGTGAGTGCTGGGTTTCTGAGTGGCCTTGTCGTACAGGTGGCCTAAGCAATTTTTAGCATTGGCCTGGCTGGATATTTTTGGATTCCAAATGTGGGGAGCAGCATGGGTGCTTACGGTGGGACATTTAATCCTAACTGCCCCCACCTGGGGAATGATTGGGCTATGAACAAGAGGCAGTTTTCCGCTTCACACCAGCTCGGCCAGACAGTAGCCGCAGTGCCAGTTGGTGGGATGGCTGGACGGATGTAGTGGCGGTGAGAGAGCTCATGAAGTCTTGTGATATTCTCCCCTAGTTCTGTGGTAAGAGGCAGTGAGAGCCACAAGATGATCGACCTCTCTGGGAACCCTGTGCTTCGCATCTACTATACTTCTAGGGTGAGCACTTCCTGCCCCTCCCCTACCTGATCTGGAAATAGAAAGCCTTAGGCTGGGCGCGGTCAGGAGGGAGTGGCTGACACAGCCACCTAAGCGGCAGTGGTCTTTGGGCTGAGGCATGGTGAAGAACTGACGGGAGGGCTCCTGGAATCAGTGAGAATGAGCCTCTGAGAGAGAGAGGGAGGGAAGGAGGGACGGACGGAGGGACGGACGGACAGACAGACAGACAGACAGACAGAGGCTGAAGAAGTCTGCAGGAGGTTGCAGTATGCAGCTGGCTGAGATTCTCCTGTCTGGCAGAAGTCCCTGTGGGTTACCGTAGGGACGTGGCCCTGCATCTTAGGCAGCCTTGTATTGTGTGCAGCCTGCTCTGTTCACGCTGTGTGCTGGAAATGAACTCTTCTACTGCCTCCTGTACCTGTTCAATTTCTCCGAGGGACCGCTAGGTAGGAAAAGGGGGTGGGGGTGAGGTTTCACCCTGCCCTGCTGGGGAAGAAAGAGGCCTCGATCTCTCGCCCCTGTCCCTCGGTCCCCTGCTACCGTTCTTTGTCTCTGCCTCCCCACAGTTGGCTCCGTGGGGCTCTTCCGAATGGGCCTCTGGATCACGGCTCCCATCGCCCTGCTCAAGTCCGTCATTAGTGTCATCCACCTCGTCACAGCTGCGCGAAACATGGCTGCTCTGGATGCGGCAGACCGTGCCAGGAAGAAATGATCCATGCTGGCTCCCTGCTGCCCGCCTGCCCTGGGCATCAGCTGTGCCACACAGCTCCTCTCCTCCTCCTAAGAGGTCCTAGTGTCATGTCTTTCTCGTGTGTTCCCTAACCTCCTGGGATGGGGGTCAGCCTCTTGGGTGTTGTCACTGTCTTTAATCCTGGGGACCAGACCCATGCCTGTGACCCCGAGGACCCAGCACTGCAAAGCAGGAAGAGTGCTTAGGAGGCCTCGCCCATCCCACTGGCGCTCCAGGAGGCCTGTCTGAGGATTGGATATTGCCTCATATCCCGCTGGCTCAGCCCTAGGGTCCAGCCTGACCTGAGGTTTTGGGGACATATGAGGGAGAGAGACATATGGGTCCCAGGTTTCCCAAAAGGCAGAAGAATCAGTCTGATGCCATTGGGCCAAGGAAGCCTGGGGTACCAGGCCGTGGAGGGAAGGGGCCAGGGGCCAGCTAGATCCTTCCCTGAGGCAGACTCCTCTATCCTGTCCTCTTGCTTTGGAAGCCTCCATAATAAAGGGGGGACCTTCACACTTTTTGGACTTGTTTACTTTGAGACATTCTTAGATGAGGGCCTAGGGTTAAAGGAACTGGGTATAAAAGATCCTTCTGGACGCTTTTCCCAAAGAAGGTGGCTGGCTCCTCCCTGTCATTCCAGTGACCTTAGAGAAGCCCTGCCGGCTCTTCAGGTTCATAACAATGTCTCTGCCCACTTGCTCTATGTCCCTGGCTGGCCACTTTCATTGTAACCTTGGTATTTTCTACCCTCACAAGAATGTAAACTTCCTGAGAGTAGACACGTCTTTCTTGTCTCTGCCTAGAGTGAAAACTAGCCTGGCATATGGTGGCTGCTTAATAAATACTCATGGAAAGATGGATGGTCTTCTCAGAGCGTGGTTCTTAGGCCCCCTATAGCATAGGCCTCCCCCCCCCCCCCATCGTGCTTCCGGGAACTCCTGGCCTTCCTGCTTTGGCCTCTAGGTTCTGGGTTTACACTCTTACATGTCAACTTAAGGGTTTGTGTTTAGGTTTGGTTTTGGCTTTTTTTTTTTTTTTTGAATGGTTTATTTTATGTACATTACTGTTTTGCCTGCATGTCTGTGCTGGGTCCCCTGAAACTGAAGCTGCCGACAGTGAAGAGCTGCCATGTGGGTGCTGGGAACTGAACCTGGGTCCCTTGGAAGAGCCGCTCGCTAATGCTCTTAGACACTTAGCCATCTCTCAGCTCTGAGGCTTTTGGTTTGTTTGTTTTTGAGATGGTCTCACATAGCCCATGCTGACCTTGAGTTCCTAATTCTTCTGCCTCCTGAGTGCTGGGATGTGCCACCATACCCATTGAATTTTTTGAAACAGTATTGCTATATCCTAGCTGGCTTTGACACAATTCCTAGGTTCAAATGAGTCTCCCGCCTCAGTCAACCGGATCTACGGGTGTCACTACCTGGCACCAGATTGCTTTGTTTTGGGTTTTTGAGACAAGGTCTCCTGTAGCCCAGGCTGACCTCAGTTTCTCTAGGAAGCTGAGATGACCTTGAACTCCTGATCTTCCTGCCTCTACCTCCCTCCCACCTAAGATTACTATATGTAGGTGCCAGTAAGCCCTCAGGCTTCCTTTTTTAAGTCTATTGGACATGTAGTGTGAGACCCCCACGTTGGGGTTGTTGTCAGGCATCACCTGTTCCTTCCTCTTAACAGCTTGGCTGTTTCACCCAGCTTGTGTTTGGGGAAGCTGACATTCAGGTGCGATTTTGGAGTTTTTGGAGACAGGCTCTTACTATACAGCCCAGGTTCACCTCAAATTCAGAACCTTCCTCGCTTCAGATTTTTCAATTTGGGCATGTGCCACTATGTCCAGTAGGATGGGGTGTTGATATCTTAAGTAGATAGTTGGTAAGACTCAGTTGGGGGTGGGGGATGGAGTGGGGGTAGTGATTGCTCTTGGCAGAATAAACAGCCCAGAGGCAGGCATCCAGAGATCACCCAGGCAATTAAGAGAGGTTGAAATAGAGATTGATCCGTGTGTCTGGAACACTAACTGCTGGGATGTAGGGGAGCTGGTGAGAGTTGAGGCCCCAGCAGCCAGCTGAGCAGCCTGAGGAGCTCAGAAGGACATTATTTTATTTCTATTTATTTTCTTATGTGAAGATTCATTTCATGTGTGGGCTACCATTTCACAGTGCTGTTTCCATGCACGCTTCATCTTCCAACCACGCTTCTCTGAATGAGATGGCTACTGTGGATGTGCTCGTCCTTGGGGGGCAGCGCGGAGAGGGGTGAAGAAGCTGGTTTGGCTCCAGAGCCTGCCCTCTGCTGTTTCACATCAGCAGGCTTCTAAAACATGGACTGCCCTCTTCCTGATGTGACCAGATCCTGCCATGACTGAATGCCAACGCTGGTAGCTCGTCTCATCTCTCTTTGGGGGCATGCAGGATGCTCTTGGACCCACACAAAGCTGATCACATTTCGCATGGTCTAGCGACCCCATCAGGCCTGCTCTGGTGGAGGTGAGGGGGTCCTCCTGGAAGTAGCCATCGCTCCCACCCAGTGGGTCTTCTGAGTCCTGCTGTCCTTTCTCCCACAGCCCCATCTAACTCTAGGGCTCTGGCTGTAACCGTTTATGATGACATTAGCAGCCTTGCTATATGGAGCACAGCTAACTGCTCCTCACGGGGGAATGGGAAGGAGAGGGTGGATACCCTGTCGCAGGATGGAGCCTGACAGGGCTATCACTGCACAGAAGGGCCCCTGTGTCCCTTGAGCCTGAAGGCAGTGTAGGACCTTTGGTCTTCCATTCGGTGGTTGCACTGAACTTTGGAAGAACCTGCAAGGCGCAGCCTTAAAACCTAGAGGCTCTTGATCTGGATGGGGTGGAGTCTGGAGTTTGGTCCTTGAGTCTATACTTAGTCTAGGGAATAGAGTGGAGTCACATGTGTGCAGTTTAGCCAGCCCTCAAGATATGAGGGATTCCCCAGGGATTTGACCAACTTTGAATGAAAAATATTTGGGAAAGAAACTCTGTGTCTAGTGGCCGTGTCCAGACACTATTTCTGTCATTCTTCCCGTATGACATGGTATACCAGCTAGCTCCATAACATCTGCATGGTGAGACACTACAGGAATGTAGGGCTGATCTGAAGTGTGTGAGAGCATTATGTAAGTTATAAAACACTGGGTTTTTTGTTTGTTTGTTTTTTTGTTTTTTTTTTTGTTTTTTTTTTATGGGTGGACACAGATCTTGGGTTCCATGTTGGGCACAGAAGGCTGATAGTAATAATTTCCTAGAAATCAGCTATGTCCATTCAGGCTGAATGAACAACCTCATGCAAGCAGAGGTGCATTCCATGCCACGGCCTTGTCTTGGAGAGGGCAGGCGATAGCTATTCCTAGTCTGCTGATCCTCTGTGCTGTCAAGTCTCCTCCATCTCATGCTGCAGTTAGAAACGACCCTGAGTGTGGAAAGATGGCTTAGCAGGGAGCAGTCCTTGCTGTTCTTACAGAGGATCAGCATCCAGTCCTGGCCCCCATCCATACCAGGCAGCTCACAGCCATGCATAACTGCAGCTCCAGAGAACCCAGTGCCTCCCAGGCACCCATGCCCAACATGCACAGGCACACACGAACATAAATAAAAGGTGGTTTCTTTGTCTTTGTTTTAGCCAGATATGGTGGCTCACGCCTTTAATCCCAGCACTTGGAAAACAGAGGCAGATGGATCTCAATGAATTCGAGGCCAGCCTGGTCTACCAGAGCTAGTACCAGGACAATCAGGGCTGTTATACAGAGAAACCCTATCTCAAAATAAAATAAAATAAAATGTGTGTGTGTATATATATGTGTGTATGTATGTTTATAAAGAAGTGGAGAGGCTGGGTGGTGGTGGCACATACCTTTAATCCCAGTACTCAGGAGGTAGATCAGATGGATCTCTGTGAGTTCAAGGCCGGCCTGGTCTACAGAGTGAGTTCCAGGACAGCCAGAGCTACACAGAGAAAGCCTGTCTTGAAAAACAAGTGGAGGTGCACTGGTGAGGACAGTCTGAAAAGCCAGTGAGGAGTGGGAACTGAGACCATACAGAACTGGGGAAATCTGCTGGGAAGAAAAAGAGGAGAGGTAGACAGGAAGGGGTGTAGGACTTGGGGAGCATTTTTGGTTTTTGTGGGGTCCATGCACACGTGTGTGGAGGTCAGAGAGAGACAACCCCATCGTATTTCCTTGAGACAGGGTCTACAGCCTGCAGTTTTATGGCTGCGCTAACCCCAGCAATCCTGTCTCTGACCTTCAGGGTTGGAGTTACATCCTTGCAACACAGTGGCATTTTATTTTTTGTGGGTACTTGAAATCCAAACTCAGACTCATGCTCTTAACAAGGAATGACTTCTGCCTGTTTGTTTTATGTGTCATAGAGTTGAAGGATTTCATAGCTGAGGACTGGGGCCCAAAAGAGAGGAAGAATTGCTGGTTGCCGAGGCAGGAGATGATGGGCCTAAGGTGGGTGGGGTCTAGGGCACGAGGTGAGGACCCTTGGTGGGCACCATGCTGAGCACAGGCATTTCAGTTTGCTGCCAGGAGGGAGAGAGCCTTCCTGCCCAGTTTGCTTCTATTTTCTTCAGAGAGGTGAGAAAGAGTGGGCAGGGGAGGAGGAGGTGAGAAGAGGAGGCCTGAATAGTTGTTCTGAAGGGATGGCATCTGGGAGAAGATAGTTGGGGGTGGGGGACAGGCCTCCCTGGGGATTGTGACTGCAGTCTAAAATGGGTATGGTCACGTGCAGGGGTCTTCCCCAGCAGCAAGCCTCTGGTCCGGGGTTACACAGGGAAGGGGGAGCTGGGGGACGGCAGGTGACACATGCCAGTAATCTTAACACTCTAGACAGTGAGGCTGGAGGCCTGTGAGTTCATGGTCAGACCCTGTCTCAAAGAAAGAAAGGAGCCAGGTGATGGTGGTGCACACCAACGCCTTTAATCCAAGCACTTGGGAGGCAGAGGCAGGCAGATCCCTGTGAGGCCAACTTAGTCTACAGAGTGAGTTCCTGTACAGCCAAAGATACACAGAGAAACCCTATCTTGAAAAACCAAACAAAAAACAATAAAAAGAAAGAAAGGGGAGGGGGCAGGGTGATGGGGAGAGAAAGGGATCGAGGAAGGGAAAGGAGGCAAGAAAAGAAAGAAGGAAATGCTGGGGTATAATTCGGTGATGGTGCATTTGCAGTGAGGGTCCTTCCTAACATTCTGCCATGGGAGAGGGTAGGGAGGGGAGGGTCTTTTCCCACTAAACATCACAAGGGTGGGGAAGAGAAGGGAGTCACAGGTTTTTATTGGTGACTTGTAGGGACAGAGGCAATGAACGAATGACATTCTCCAAGGTGCTGTTCAGTCAAAGGACAGCTTTGGGAGCCGATAGCTGAGGCCTAAAGAAACACCGCCATGTACAAACTCACTTGTACCCGGAGGCCCACGGTGACACACAACATGGAATAGACAGCAGGTACCAGCTGAAGAACCTTAAATTAATTAGTTCTCCTGAGGAAAAGCTTGGGGGAGGACGGGGCCAGGACTCATACACAGCCAAGCCAGAATGGTCCAGGGCTGGGGCTTAATACAGACAGACCCTCGGCCTCATCAAACTCAGGCTTTAGCAGAGACACCAACCACACAAATGCACCTCAGAAGCCACTCAGGGAAGAGGCAAGACTCGTGAGAGGAGGCTCTGTGAGGAAAAAGGAACAAAAACAATATCGCTAACCTTGCTTAACTGGGAAACCATGGGCCCATTTCACAAATGGGAGGAGATGAGAGCAGCTGGGTCCCCTTCAGAGCCACACAGGAAATGGGGTCAAAGTTTTCTCTCTACTCTAGGATCATTTAACTTCCACAGTAGTG